GTATGACAATGTCAAGTCATGACAAGAAAGTAAACAGCTATTAGTGGAATGCGAACATGTTTGCGCTGCATTAGCATCCATTAAAACTGTAAGAATATTGGCCCAACACAACATTTACATAGCTGTTTACGACATTTACTTTACTGTGTCCTACATACGGTCTGTGTGTGTGTGCCTGAGGGTGTGTGTGTGTGTCCTGTCCCGACTCAGTCAGATTGATTGCGCTGGTAGTTACAATGTAGAATAAATGTTCATTATCGTGAGTATTTGAACACACAGCCACAGAGACTCAGCTGAGCATTTGTCGACTATCCATTGAAATCATGTGGCTTACAATTCGAAGTAGGATACTTCCTACAATTGGATTCTGATCCTGTCCTAAGTAGAGTTAAAGCCAGTACCCTAGAGCTGTTTGGATGTAAATCCATCTCTCTACATCTCTCCAAAGCTCTCGTCTTGATTGCGATTAGGAGTCCTTGCTGCATGTGGGGCATGAATAATGCTGCGTTCACACCAAAAGCGAAGAGAATTATTTGTGCAAGTAACGCGAATAACGCGAAACACGCAGCGCAAATTGAGCGAAGACAGGCCGACGCTGTCTTGCGAAAGCCAATCGGCATCGAGATGCTCCGCCCGACCTCCGCCCGACCTCACCGCCCTGCTGCCAACCGCGAACATAGTTTATGAAACTGCCCCTCACCGGAGATAGACACACACACACACACACACAGCCGCTCAGCAGCTCAGATTGAACGCCTGTAAGTTTATTGGTGTCCAACCGAGGGATCCTGGCACCGATCCGACGGCAACATGTCATCAGACTGGCTGCTGGTCAGCCTGAAGTAGCTTTGGAAGCAGCAGTCACCCAGATGCACATGTCATGAACCTAAACACGAGGGCGTTTACCACGTTTGTGTAATTTATCGAGCATTTGTAGTGTTTATTTCCATGGTGGGAAGCGGAAACGTCTGTCTTTACCGCCCAAATGAAGGCGAATTAACTACAACAGTCGGGCGAGTGAACTCGTGCGAATAAATTTGCCTCGCTTTTTGCGTGAACGCACAGAATAAATGTTCTTGAACACAGGTAAACTAAACAGACAGAAGCACAGCAACCTACTCTTTGAGCGCGGTCCGCAGCTTCATAATCTTGACAAAAGACAAATGCCTTAAACGTGGCAGGTTTGCATCAAACTCTGTGTGGCATGAATGATGTGTGTGCTTACTCAGCTGGAGGTGACCTAGTGAAGTCTCCTGCGGGAATGATATTTCTATATGTATGGGGTGTGGTCCCTCATGAGAGCAGCCTCAACAGCCAATGCGTAAACGTAGCGAGACAGGTGGGCATTTCTGTACGTTCAACCATTTAGTGTTTAACAAAGACAATAGATCCCTGGCGCTGTCAACCCGCGCAGTCCTGCACACTAAGCCGGTTATTTATATCCCTTGCATTGTATGAAAAGAGGGAACACAATGTTCCCTAGCTGTTCTGAATAGAAATCTTAATTAATTAATAAATCTTGGCAGCAGAACCATTCCTCTTCGACAAGAACCAGGACAATGAAGCCCACAGATGGCAGTGCGGAACAGTGTCTCTGTGTGTAAGCTGATAAGTCATGCACTGATGAGTCCATCTTCTAATTGCAATGAAAACTCATTTTCAAATCTGGCTGAAGAGGTAGGGTTATTAATTGATCTTTTAATTAAAAAGCTTGCGTTCTCTTGGTTCTCTTGGCAAACAATAGTTTGTGGCTAAATAAATCATATTCAGGCCCAGAGCGCACCGATTAATCATCAACAGTCGCAGGAAGATCGCTTAAGGCAGGCGACTCGGTGAGGTCTTGTACATTGAGGTGCCCTGCTCTCTGAACAAACCCTGTTTAGATGTCATGCAGGTTAGTTATTCATGTAGAGCGGTGCAATTTGAGACGTTCTCATTGTTTTGATGACAAGCGCCGCGTAACACAGATGTAACGGAGGCCGGTTTGTCATGGACCCACATCTGGCCATTTGTCACCCGGTGGGGCCTAACAGCACCCATCTTTCTGCCATGCCTGTGCTATTCCTGGACCGAACCCCTTACCCCCATCTGGTGGAATCACCACGAGTTGAGGCATGATTTACAGCACCACCACAGCATGCTCTGGACACTAAATTACCTGGATTATTGGGCCTTCAAGATTTTTAGTGCACTACTTTGCATTACTCTCCAAATCCTGATGGTGTATTGCACAATATATGATGATGTAGGACGTGCCAGCATGTTGAAATTGGAAATATTGAATTGGACTGGATTTTATGGCAGTGATCTGTCTTAACGGATCCCATTGCCAGGATCTAAATTGGAAAGACTTGATGTTATTGATATGCATATAACAGTGTTTTGGATCACCCACCAGGATTAGGGGGACATTTTTCTCTTTGACATGTTGCAATAGTTAAATGACTTGAATAGCGAGAAGGACGATTACTTTCTCCCCAACTACATATTCATTCTAAGCAATTGCCTCTTAAAGCCATCGCTGTTGATTTTTTATGAGAGGTGCCGTTGTTAAGAAAGATGATTTGTCAGTACATCGGGCCGATTCTGTTGAGACTCCAGGGTTTCTTTATCACTAGTAGGGAGGCCCCCCGAGTGCTCACACTGTATGTTAATCAATGAGAAAATGACTGTGACGGTATACCTTTGTTCAATGTAACTTTGCTTGCCAGAATTTGAAGCAACCTCTAATAGAGCGCAATAATCCAAGTTGATTTTAAAACCTCTGAGCTCTATGTATTTTCAACATACAGCCGATCCAGTTGCTGACTAAAGGAAACGCATAAAAATTCTGCAAGTTCAAAAAGGAAATTCGGCTACATGAAAGGAGCAATTTCCAAAGGACAGTTTGGGGGAGGTTAAGTTTTCAGTTGTAACATAAAAAGACATTTGCCGATGGAGTGATGTTTCAAGTATTGACACACCTGCCTGGGCCGCCATGTCCACTGTCCTAGCAACGTACAGTAGGACAGCCAGGTCACCCTGGTGCTTTCAGAAGCTCCCGATAATCAATGGCCCCGCACAGTGGCACCAGCAGCGGATCGTAAGGATTCTCCAAGCCTCCGTCGGTCAGCAGACTGCATTGATTTTGTCGTACTTGTTAGTGGCCTAAATTTCTGTGCTTGGCTCTACTTGTTCTTCCTTTTCTTCAAGTAAAAGTAACTGCTTTAGTAACTCTATTGTTATCTATTGCAGGTTTTACAGCTCTTCTGTAAAGATGATGCTAGAAACGTTTTTGCCAAGAAGCTTTTGGGCAGGTTACTGTCATGCTGTTGCCATTAAACAGCTCATCCCAAAATAGAAAATACATATTTTCCCTATTATGAGTTGTAATATTTGTAATCTTGAATAGCTAGTTCATTAATACTGGAAAGATTCAAGGCTGTTTGATTTTTAATTACCAGAGTCCCATATAGTCCCATTATATACGGAAGGTTCTTGTGTAATCAGAAGAAATTTGGTGGAAGTGCATCCGTCATCTCAGAGTGCATTTTCTCTCCTGCATCATCACACGCCACACACAAATGTTCACACGTGTCTGAGAACTGTTTCATCTCACCACTTCAGTGCAACGTTTTGAAGGTGTGTCATGTGTATTAAGTAAATGCTATGCTATATGTGCTTCATTGAAGCATGTGGCCAAGCACTTTCTTCTAAGTAAAAGTTAGTCTTATTTAATAGGAATACATTATTTAGACACTTGGCACTATTTGCAGTTGGTGGGGATTAATGCCAGTTAGCACCAAAGGGGTTGTGTTGTCCGAAGATAAATCAGTCCACTCCGAGGCCGTCCGTTAGGAACATCTCCAAAATGCAATTGGAAGGAAAGGTTTGAAGGCGTTTGGCTGAGCTCCCCTTTTGGAAACAGGCACAGACTGAAAGATCTGACTTCCTACCTCTCGATCCTGGCTGGAAGGTTCCCTACGAGCTGCAGGACGGATCCTAACTAAGACTATGAACTTGTTCTACGTCTCATTGGCTTCTAATCCTATTCTTTCTCAATGGCACAAAGTCATTTTGCTCGTATTGTCAGATACTGTATATCTGATTGTCTGTTATGAGCCGTTTTGTTATTTGACGGGCCGCGGGGAGATGAGCCTTGTCAAGACAATATTCAATGTCAGATGAGCCCTGTGCCTGATTATGATTGTTTCTCCTAAGCCTCTATTGATTGCTGTGATGGAGAAACAGGAAACCACTTATGATAATACCAGTGGGCACGATGCCCTGTATGCATTCACTTCCGTGAGGGGCAGTCAACAGTACCTTAGAAGAGGGACATTAGCATTTTTTTGTCCACAGTATTTCAGTTCAGGATTACTGCGTGTGGACAGTGGACAAGTTTACAATAAGAATAAATGAAATACGTGTATTACGTGACTTATTGTGTGACTATGGGAATGTTAAGAATGCTGGATGTTTCTTGTCCAACGACATGCTGTATTTAACAATATGCCATTCTTCTGAGTCTATACAACTTCAATTCATCAATTAAATTTCTTTCAAGACCTTTATAGAAGCAGCATACATATTTGAAGTACAAAGGAATGGGCCGCTTTAGAAAATGTCCATATGTAAAAGCTGCCTTTGTGACACTGGCAAAGAGATTTACACCACATTTCAGCACATGAAAGGAGCCTCATTTTGCATTCACTGAACCCGCGCATGCCATTGAGTCTGTGAACTTCTATTAAGTCATTTATTCCCATGCAGTGCAATTCATTTTTCTTTATGGCATCAAGGATGGATGCCTTCTTCCCTCCCCAGCACCGCCCCTGTAGACTGTTTGCGCTATATAATGTGTGCAATGTCGGAGGTTGTCATATTCAAGTTCAACATCCCTACTTCCCCTTGTGATTTATGTCTTTCTATAACTTTGGTCGGGAGGGCAGGGTGAGGGGGGAGTAATAATGCATTTCTTTATTTGGGCTGACCCTCCAACGTCTCTCTGTTTTCTCCAGTTGCCCCAGCTATCCATGAGATGAAAAGCCATGGAGTCGGCCTGGGACGCACGGCTCTGCTGAGGTGCGAGGCGGCTGCTGTGCCTTCTCCAACGTTCGAGTGGTACAAGGGTGAAAAGAGGTGAGCCCATTGTGACGGTATCGGCTGTTCTGATAAAGATCTGTTTGCACATTGAATTTTTTTTTTATTTTTTTTTACAAAATATTGAAAACATGTCTTCAGTTTATCCTTTCGGTAACAGATACTTCATTCGCCTTTAGGGGTCGGATGTAGTTTCCAGAAAATGGAAATTAGCAAAGTAGAAATGTAGAATTCCTTCACCTGCTTTAAACAGTGCTAACAAGCATTTTGTCAATATAAAATGAAGTGCAATTTTTATTATTAAGTGAATTTGTTTCACAGCTGCTCCAGCTGAAATAGACTCAGCATACACAAGATGAGGGAATAGATAAACGTAGACCACAAACAAGGAGCTTCGGTCACAGGTAAGGTGAGACTGAGCACATCAATGACAATGGCTGCGTTTGTCTTCTGAGGAGGTCCCACGTATACGTTCCTGCAGGAGTCGTCTGTGCCTTATCCTCACCTCGCTTCCTAATAAAATGTTTGCTGGCAACCGGCTTAAACCATTCTCAGCACATACATCAATCAGTCTAGCTTCAAGTGTCAGTTCTTGAATTTAGAAACCAAATTACCCCCCATTACTCATCATTTACCCACTCCTGGTGAGCACAATTTCCATCATCAGCTCACACTGTGCTAATTGTAATTATGGGGTGGATTCAATTTATCCAATTGCTAAGGAGGCGAGTTGGCATGATTCTAGTCTTTACTTGATTCAAGGACTTGTTCTTTTTTGTGACTTCTTGCGCGGCTAAATGCTGGTTTCTTCATGTACTTGTCATTACAAAAAGGACATTATTAGAAATACTTGAGCTTACTTAGTCTGCCCGTCATCCCCAGTGACAGTGACTACGCCACCGCCCAGGCACCGCGTGTGGGTGATGAAGTCCACTTCTTATTTCGGTACGAGGTCGCTGCAGCTACACCAGGAGCGCCGTGCTGCTGCCTGCTCGTCTCTGTCGGGACCCGTGTGACAGTTTGGACAACCAAATCGTTCTCTTTATGTGTCACTTCTTTCATTCGTCAATGGAAGTGGGTGAATGTTTGTGTGAGAGGGGTGGAGGGGGGGGGGGGGGTTCTATCACTATGATTGAGGGGAGCATCAACTGGTTTGATGTTGAAACGGCAAAGAGACGAGACTCCTGCTGAAATTATCAGTGACGTGTGAAACATTTGAGGAGGCCGCAGTGGGAGAGGCAAACAACAGATTTTTGGATAGTTGGTGGACATAAGGTCACACATGGTGTTTTCACTCACAGTGTCTCTCAGAACAACTCAAGCCAAGCTCAACATCATGGGGGGGCCGCGGCAAGGCCAAGGTAGAAACATGTCTTCCCTCTGGAGGTTTGTATGGTTTACAATCCCAAATGTGGAGCGTTTTAACACAAACCACACTGATGAAAACAAACAAAGCTTTAACTCCCACGAGATTCCCACAATGTTAATCTGGCTATTAGAGAGCGCAGTGACTAGCGTTATTGCTGGTAGCGGTTTTAATGATTAATAGTTAGTTTATATCAAATTATGTTGCAAATATGAATAACTGAAATATGAATCATAAACCCAAACATTTATAAACGTTAAATGATATAGCTCAGCTTATGCATTAAGCCTGATCACCCATACTGAATGAACTAAAAAAAACGTGACATTGATAGACACAGTTGTCAAGACGGAGAAACCTATGCATAAATATATGCGTACCTCTATGCATAATAATACATTTCATGACAAACTAGTGTCCTTGCTGAGGCAAGATAGGGAGGGGGAACATGTCCAATGGGTTGCAGCAGCTGTTCGGAAAGAAGTTTGTTAGTTCATATTTTGATGAGGATGTTCGGTACATGACCACCGACGTAAACAAGAAACATGTGTAAATGTAACAGCAAATGTCCCAGGCAGCTACGGGATGCATTGTGATCCCCCTGCAGCTGCAACACAACAACAAACAAGGTGTCAAATGGCATCGAGCTGGTTCGTCTCTAGGTCATTCCTCTTCTCTCTTAGCGCTTCGCAGCGTCCTTCGAGGCAGCCGACAGAGAACAAGGGGTAAATAGACATGTTGGAGAGTGTGATGAAGTGCTGTACCTTCTGAACGACCACTAAAGGACAACAAACAATTGTACCGTCCTTCAAAACGTGTGCATGGGAGAGAAATCGAATCTTGATTTTGTGACTCCGTTGTGTTTTTCAGGATTATCAAGGGCCAAGGCATCGACATCAAAAGTCTCAGCTCCAGATCAGTGCTCACAGTGAACAACATGACAGAGGATCGTTACGGGAACTACACGTGTGTCGCCACCAACAAGCTAGGGACGGTTAATGCCAGTGTGCCTCTCATCCGTAAGTTGTCGTCCTATCTGCTCGTGGCGAACTGGACTGGTGGAGAATGAAGGAGCTGAAAGAGTGTTGTGGAGATCAGTGTGGGTTTCAATGTCCTCAGAAGGGTTTCCACTTTTGCTGCAGCGCTGTTGCTGAAGGAGAAAAGCTAAAGTTCAACCCAGTGCTTCAAGAGGTGGTCTCGTATTTCCTACTCAGCATTTTTGAGGACGTGAATTGTTAATACAGATGAAAAGTCTGTACGTGTGAGTGGGTGTGTTGTTTGTGTCAATGTTTACATCTGCACGTGTAAAGCACCACCTGAAAAACACATTTTACTCCGAGGTAAGAGCATCAATTACAAAAAGTAGCTGCACGGGTCAGGCGTGCTGCCATAAATGCGCATGTTTAAAGAGGCAGCTTGACTCGGACTCTAAAGAGGCCTTGTGTGCTTTTCAAGACACCACGAGGCATCAAGAGGCCAACTAATCGAAGGCCAAACTGTTTGTTCATCAGTGATAGACTGCAGAATTGTTCAACGCGGTTAAGAAAACTTTTTGAATCCCCACCCGGGACATTTGCGCCTGTATATGTTGTGTGAGACATTCCACTCTTCTGAGGCAGAATTGTGCACACAGAAGCACATAATAATAATACAACATAATAAAAGCCCAAACTGGATCAAAACCCGGTGACACTACCCAAACATTGCAGTATGAGATTTTATATGCAACCCATCATTAACGCATGCATTAATAGTCCTCTCATGTAAGGGCTTTTCATCATTGTGTTTCACCAGGTCAATCAACAGAGAAGAAGTCGGTAGTTCTTTGGATTCTGGTGTTCACACTCCAGCCCATAGCTCCACTCGCTGCATGTACCCTCCTTTGATGTGAAGTGGATTTCAACTACTTTCATTGTTGTTTTGAATTTGACAACATCCGTGTCCCCACATTCGCACACAACTTTTTCAAAATAACTTTTTCTGAAGCCTACACGGTTAGACATTTCATTTATTTTCTCCACTTGCTACCTGCCATCCAGCAGAAAAAGCAAAGACAGGAAGGGGTTGGAAAACATATTTTCTTCGATGTTTTAAAAAGGAGTGTTGGTGACAAAAGAAATCCACTTAATGTATTCAGTGATGAAACATGAACAGGTGAATTAAATTATTCAGCAGTTCGCGCTGTGCCCTGTGATAATAGCATCGTCCCTAGCAGGCCACAGACTGAGAATACAAAGAGATATTCCTGTAGAGTTGGCAACTGTCAAAGGAGCACTCCACTCCTCCTGTTTGTGTATGCACGAAAACATCAAAGGCTCGTCTCAGATCCTCCAATGGATGATCTTAATGTGACACCAGCGAGGCCTCAAAGGCAGAGCGGCAAAGAAACCCTCCGAATATTCAGAGGAGGCAGCTTCCTGCGCTGCCTCCCCCAACTTCTCCCTCCTCCCTTCCCTCTCTTTATCTCTTTGTTTCTGCTTCTATCGTTGCTTTGTCTCTCTGATTCTCTTATCTCACTCTCGTGCCCTCTCAGTCTTTTGTCCTCTTTCTCCCCCTTGTCTCTCTTTCCTCCTCTCTGGCATCTTCTTTAATGCACGCACACACACACACACACACACACACACACACACACACACACACACACACTGCCCTTTCTTTCTCGGGATCTCTACTTATGGGAGAGAGGCCGATACTGCTGTTTGCTCTTAATGAGAAATGGCAAGCAATCGGCGCAGCACACTCTCGCCGCTACCTCGATGCAAATAACAAAAACCCAGAGGTTAGATTTCACAACGGGTGACTTTGGAAAGCTGTATTAGAACCAGTCGATACTATTGATGAGCAAGTTGGGGAGAGGGGGGAATGCATATTGCATGCATATTTGATAGCGCATCATACATTGAGGTGAATTTTGAGTGGAAACATTATGTGAGGAATAAAGTAGTTTATTTGAATGTCCCAGGGAAAGCAAACACATACACCTTCCAACCAAAGCTGCCACTGGGAGACAGCCGTTTGGTTTAAAAAGAAACTTGGATGAAAAGCATCATGGCTGTGTGCACATGTTGACATGGCTGGTTTTAACCAATTTCTGCATTTTTTAAACGAGTTGGATGGCCGTGTCCTCCCTGGGTGCTGGATTCAATTGTGCCAGTTTTGTTTCCGACCATGTGGATTTCTGTGCTGTTCAGCCATTAGTCAGGCATTGTGATCTCTTTCAGCTAAGTACCACTTTAAGCTGTGTGTTTAACGCTGTGGTGAAACACAAACTGAGTCCTTCGAAGCAGAAAGAAAGCATGCAACCTTTTTGCCACTACCTGTCAAGAGTACTGAGTGTGAGTGTGAGTGTGAGTGTGTGTGTGTGTCGCTTTTTGAATAAAACAATCAGTGTCATCTACGAATAGACAAATAATAAAGCAGTAAAGCACTAATAATTAGATGATAAGCCTATTTGATGACATATAAATGATCAGAAATATCTTCTACGTATGATTGCAGATGGAGTATTTAATAGATACCAACTGGACCACAGCTTTTACAAGTCTGTGTTTTCTCTTGATAACTTCACTGTACAACAGAAAAGTAACTGCATTGAAAAATGTCCTGAAACACACAATTATTTTTAGTTTGGAGAGATCGCAGGCACAGCCCAAAGTGTTACAGGTGGGAGGAGATAAAATGCTTCAGACACAAAGAGTTACTAACGTGGGTGTTGCATTAATTGTTCATCAACATAATATTTTGTTAATGATCATCAACCAGTTAAATGAGCTAATAAGCAATAGCACTGCAGATGTGACCCCAGTTTGTATCCCTCAGATATATCTCTGTTACACGCAAGGTTCTAACAACACAACCATCTGTTCGTGAAGACCTAAAACATAATTAAAAATATCGTTATTAACCATCTCGTGCATTGTTTACCTAATCCAAATAGGTCTTGCTTAATTTGTTCAAATGAGAATACATCTGTTATCAGTTGCATTGGTTCATATTGATGTTTCCAATCTTTCTTAAAAAGTAAAGCAATTACATTATGTGTTTGCCAACAAGAGGTTCGTTGAACAACACCTAGTGTTTTCCACACTAGGTTGTGTTTTTCCCTTTGTGCGTACTCATGTAAGAAATACACACCCCACACATTCGCTCACACCTTCTGATTTTAGCTGAGGTATAACAATCACCAAGCTGGCAATCCCCATTTCAACTTTCCATTTCATGTGCTAGATGGAAGCCAACTTCGATGAAAAGACTGGCGCAGTTCACTTCAATTTTCCGAGGAGTCCTCCAGCTTAATTGGTCAAGCTCTTATCCCCCGGCCCACCTCGGCTTAGCCCCGGAGGAGATTTTCTCTGCCTATACCTCCGCCCTCATTTCCTCCTTTTTTGCCTCCGCCCCTCCTCCCCTCCCTGAGCAGTAATCGGAAGAGAGAGACTGATGGGGGAGAAAAAGAGTTCCTCTCTCTCTGTCTCAGTCGCTGCTCGGCCCCCCTCAGGCAGGAGAGACGGCGCCGGCTAGCTGGTTAATGAACGTCGTGTTCGTTTGTCACGCTTATCAATCACCGCACGTGTAGGTGTCATTTCGACATGTCTCCTCATCTGCCATTGTTGCTGATGATGTTTGTGTCCCACACTGTAGGATTGTACCTCCGTCATGGAAAAGAGATGGAGGATGGAGGAAAATGGAGGCTAAAGTGTGGGTGGGCGTGTGTGTGTTTGATTGCAGCTCAACATGCAGGGAAATAATACTGCCGTTGTTGTGAGGAACCTTTTAGCCTTGTTGATTTTGTCTGTGCTCTAAATAACTACTTTTTCTATTCATTGATGACAAAATGTCCTGGATCTTCGCACCTTTCCTCCTTTTCTGGTTGTTAGTCAGTGTTCAGCTTATAGTTTAGAACATTGTTTAATATAGATTTTAGGCGTTCACCCAAAAGGCTCATAACATATCAAAATACACTGAATTAATTTAACATAGTGATGGTGCAGTGTCCTTTACCCTCCCCCCCCCCCGCCCTCAGGGTTGTACAATCGTTCTCTTATTTGAATGCCTGCATTTCCATACATAAGCAATCATAAAAACCATTAACATTTCCCCGTCTTCCTGCAATGAGGAAAGGTTTGGTGCTGTTGCAGAGTGTTCGTTCTGCAGCCCAGCGGGTAATGGACTTCACCCCCGCCCCCCCCCTCCCTCACTGACTCCTGTAGAGGCCAAGCGCGGCGCTAGGAACGCTCATCCTTGAGTGACTGAGCCCAGCCGACGCTCACAGGAAGATCGGCTCTGCGGACAGCGTTAAAAAAAGAAAAAAGACACAGGAGGAATTAGTGGTTTGCTGGCTCACAAATGAACGCAGGCTTTAACACCGACCAGTGAGGACAGTTAAAAAAAGGAATGTGTCCAGGCATGACCAAGGATTTTAGAATGCATTCAAATGGAGCAGTAAGAAGAATTGGAGCATTATATCACTACCTATTCTTTTGAGGCATACTAAGTAACTTATTACACTTCATAAAATGGCAATATTCTGTCTCTCGTGGGTTTGCTAGTATTAAGATCAATGTTATTGACATTTATTTTATGAGATGCTGCATTTGGGCTCAAATGCACCACAAATGGAAAAATATTTTTCCCTTTGCTGCTCATCTTTGGTTTTATTCGCTCGCTACTACGCCTCTGCTATCATGAACTCCGGACACGGCTGTGAAGGACCACCGCCTAACGCAGCTTTAGTATTCCCTCCTCATTAATGCTGGTGATGAGTTGAACTTGAACACAGATTCCTATAAATCATGTCCTATAAATCTCTCTCGCATTATCCCGTCTGGAGAGAACAAGGAGAATAAGAATCCATGAAATGAAATAGCAGGGAAAACTAATGTATTTTATCTTGCAAGTGAGCAGGATGTGCAAGGTCGACCGCCATATCGAGTGCGTGAAATGATGCATTGCTCTGCTGAATAGGAGAAGGAGCCCAAGTCAGTGTGGAGCTATGAGGGAGGGATGGCGTGTCAAAAGATATGTTCCAGTTACGGACGAGTGTCTCAGAGCTCATGAAATGATTCACTGGTGAATTCATCCTCAAGTATTAATCAGATAGCGCCCGCCTGACTGTTGGAAGAAAGAACTAAAAAGAAACTCTTCACATATGGGCTCCCCAAGAAGCACTTAGAGTGGAAACATTTGTTGAAGAAAAGATGAATTTCCCCACCACTGTACCAAGGGAAAAGGCATATCATTTCAAGTTTGAGTACTGATTCACTACACAACTTACCCATCAAAAATGAGTGATGAAATGAAAAGAAAGCCCATTTCTCGTTGTATTTGGCGACACGGTCATTACACAGTTGTCAAAGTGCCTCTGGAAGGTGACACAGAGAGCACCTATCGAGGGCATGGTGTGTGGATGACAGTGGACCCTTTGGCCCCCCCCACCCCTCCGATTGAAATGGACGTGTTGAGCTTCATTCGTAAATGGATTGAAATTGAGAGTCAAAGATCGCCTGTGTAGTATTGCGCTGCCCAGATGCAGCAGCTCACCGCAACAACACAAAGTAGCTTTCTTTCTTTGTGCGTGAGGTGCAATTATGGCTGCCGTGGTCTTCCTTGTGACTGACAGGCTCCTCCTCTACAATGCTCCGCTTTCTGGAACAAGGTGGTTGTTACTTTCTGTGAGGAGTATAAATAGTTTTTTAACTGCCAATGTGTACCTTGCACTGTTTGCGTGCTGCAAGAAAAGACAAACTGGGAGTTGAACCAGTGCATCACTTTGAGTCAGGCTCCGATTAACAGCTTTGCCACACATCCCAGATTCTTAACCCTTGTTTATATAACAAAAAGCCCTGCTTATTTATTTATTTCTCACTTTAGCTTTTTACATTGCAGTGATATCTGTACACCAAAGCCACTTTCAATAATTGATGCTGCGGACCAGCGTGGATTTAGCTTTTGAGCTTCAGGGGTCAGAAATCGAAGGGATTGGCCTGTTTGATTCCTTGGTAACAATAACATCGTCAAAAAATGTGGCTTTATTTACCTCTTCGCATGTCTCATCAGTCGATTAATAGAGAATCCATTCTTAACTAAACACGTGTGGCTCCTTTTGCCAAGAAAATCCTAACCATGAATATGACTAAGAATGACCGACTCGGTGTGACATTTTACTCATCGCACTTCAAAAGTAAAGAAGGTCCGTTAGCTCAAGTAGTTAACAGACTGGACTCAACATTCGTGGATGTGACATTATTCCATCTCCCAAATGCCACCAGCGGCTCAGCCCGCAACGAGTTCATGAGGTAATGAGAGCGAGTTCCGCCCGCAGAGGGATGGAAGGCAGAGCGGCGTCGCCACGTGTAACGCCGCGGCTCTCCTCGACTCGGACCTCTTTTCAGTTTCCCATCGGCAGAGGTTGTGGAAAGCACCTGCTGCTGGTTTTTTAGCACCACCTCGATTTAAGCTTCCAATTGAGCCTTTTCATTATTTGCTTTTGGTTTCATATTGTTTATGAAGAATGCGTGGCGTGTGATCTTGTCATGGGCGGCTACTGGAAATGAAATCCATGAGCCTTTTTGAGGGAGTAAATAGCAAATGGCGACGGCCACAGGCCCGTCTGCCGCTGGGCCCCTGGTTCCCCTCATGTTTTTGTCATCAGTGACCCATGCAAAATGCAAGGCAACTGGATGAATAAAGGGTATTGTTTATGAGCATGTGGAGGTTGCATCTTGCCACAGAGACAGCGGTCCTTAATGCATGGAGAGGACTTGCCTCCATCCCCTGTCCTTTTGTCCTTGCATGCATTTTTACTTTCATTTTACGTCTCCATTCTGGTAATAATACGTGAATGTCCTCTTTCCCTTCCCCTCCCCTTTACCCCTTCTCCTCCCCTGTAGCAATTATTGAACCCACCACCACTAGTGCTGTCTCAAGCCCAGGTCAGTATATGTCACCATGCTGTCCACCGGATCAGCAAAGAGGTCCGCTACCTCGCACTAACCTGAGCTGAAATCTTTTCCTCCATCTTGATTTCTTTCAATTGGCTGGCTGGAATGCCTGCTGGGTGTACGGCTTCCTTGTATGTCCTTTTATTTCTTTTATTTGCATTCCTTGTTTTGTTTCTGTTTATTTGGGGTTGGCTTCTACAGCCTGGCTACATATGCGTCCTGCAGCCTATGTCATCACAACAGCCTGCCTTTGTTTCATTAAAACGCAACCACCACCCCCACGTGGAGCACCCAGTCGCGTCATCAAAGTGGCTGTTCCATAGGCCTGTGGGTCTAATGCTTTTCATAACGGCTTCTACTTCTCTCTCTCTCTGGCTTCCTCACCACAAACACCGATCATTAGTGCTGGCTAAATAACGTACACATCAATGGCAGGAAGCTGTTGGTGGCAAAGGCCCTTGGTTTGTTGTTTGCGAGATGGAATCTCTGCTTTCTTTGTACTTTTATCACTCGCTCTCTGTCTTCATCTTCCTATATCTCTCTCTCTCTCTCTCTTCCGTCTGTTCTTCCCTCTTTCGAGAACAATCAGCTGGCGCTCCGCCACCCTATTTAACCTGATCTCCTGCTAGTGCTGTTGTCAGTGCTACACTGTCAATGTCACCCTTGTCCCCCCCACCACCCCCCCATCCCCTCTTTCTGTGTTCTGCCGCTTCTACATTCCAGCCCAGAGTAATCCCCTCTGCCTGGTTGTCTTTTCTCTCTCTGCAATGGTTTCACGGAATGTAATCTCTCATGCCGGTTACATTAATTTTTATTGCTTGATAATGTTCTCGTGCACATAAACATGTGCACTAACACAGAAAAGCTTTCAGTGGCACAATAGGTACTGAAATGAAAACATGCAGAAATATTCAAACGTGCTCGGTCACATGAGGCGATTCAGGCTGCATGATGGGGGAGGGGGGGGGGGGGAGTTTGTGACTCTCCATCCGCGCCTGTGGATGGCCGCTATCGTATTCCACTCGCGTTCTATGGAGACACTGCTCTGGGTTAGCACATGTCCGCCTGCATTCTGTACCTGTCTATGTAAGCCAAATATAATTATCCATGGAGATTCTGTCAGATAGCAAGTTAAAATAAGCTCAGCGGCGACCAGCAGTCCTGGCAGGGCCCTGCACTCTCGTTTAATGTAACGCCTTCAGAACAAATGACAATTTCATGGTCCAAAGGAACACCACTGGCTTCAATCGTGGAGATAAACTCACTGAGCGACCCACTGATCTTGTTTAGTTCCAAGTTAATTTTTTTGATGGCAACCCCCTCCCCTCCCCCACCCAATGGGAATTATTTCAAAAGGTTCTTCGTCCCTACCGTTCGTGTATTAAGTTAATAATTAATTTGATCAGTAAAAGAAGTCTGCTTTTATTCCCCCTGTGAATGACTTTGGGAAGATGTGCTTCCAAACTAAGGAATGACATTCATACAGTGAAGTAAGCAAATCGGATCTTTGGGGTGGAAACATTGTTCACCCTTCACTGCACTTGGAGTGCTGTTTCAGCCCGTCGATGGAATGACAAATGACATAAAGAAAACAACATTAACAGGCAACATCAGTCATTCTGTTTTTGTTTCTGACCTTGATGTTGTACCAGTAAGAATCAGTTTAGGGTGGCTAAAATCATAATGTGTACGTTTATTAGAACGTACTTGCATGCTAGATATTGGATTCTTGTGTACTTTGATCTTTCTGAGACAGAACCATGGACATCCTTTTACCAAGTCTGATGGAGCACACATAAGACTCAGGAAGTTACATACTGAAATAAATATTGACTTAAAGATGCATAATATGGGATTGGGACCTTTTTGGCTCCTTCTCATTGGCTCCCCGCATGGTAATAGTAATGAGTACTGACCCAAGCTAACGGTGCTAACAGCTAACAGCAGGAGGAGACGCTCACACGTCAACGAAGTATCTTAAGCTTAAGTATCTTGCTCAGATAAACATTACTCCACTATATCTGTACATCACAAATAGCTATTTGCTGCTACATTAATGCTCCGAATGTCATATATGGCTCATTTGCTAAGACACACAAAAAAACACAACATTGCACTTTAAATTGATCTAATATTCTGATGGATGGATATATGCATATATATGTCTATTGAGCTGTACATGAGATTTGATTGACTGAAACTAGACTACAACTGTATCACTGTATCCAGAATGGATTTCTTTTATATTCACAGCAAGAAGTGCGTATGTAATGGTTGTTTTCTTGGCTGTATGAAGTTGAAGTTGTGACAAAACTCACACACTACATTATAAACCTTACTGGATTTGCATTCAAGAAAACAGGCTAGTGACAACTCAATTCTGACCATAAGTTAAAAATGAGTTTCTCTTCAGTAGTCGCTAACGGCAACCAGAAGCTCTAATCGACAAACTAAAAGAGTCAAAAGGACCCGAGGAAACGCAGATCCTTCGGTGTGGAAACACGCTGCTGAGAGTCAGCCGTGGTCAGTGCACCGTTCTTGGCTGTCGTGTGTTAGGGGGGCGGCATGAAAACCGGTCCGGACGTTCTGAGTGCGAGTTGGACCAGCACAGTCTGGGGGCGGAAGCAGCGAGGAGGATGACGGACGTGATGGACGCCGTCCTGAATAACCACTCCCACTCCCTTGATGATGAACTGTGGCAGATGGACACCACATTGAGGCACCAGCTCATCCTACCAAAGAGCAAGATGCTGTGCTTCACGCGTTCACTTGTGACCACTAAGCCAGCTGTGACCCCCCCTCCACCTCCCACACACACACACACACTCAGAAAGACACGTCAGCCTCACCGCTCACATCCCTCATTGCTCCAACATGCGGACTACTTAAAAAATGTTCTTTTTCTACATCTGTTGAAGAACAATACTAAAACGTCATAACAAATATGGAAAACGGTTCTCATTCATTTATTCATATTCATCTGTTCATTCATATTTCAATGATACTGCTGATAACATAGTAGTTGATTTAAATGAAAGGCTCGACATTTTAGATGAGAAGATGTGCATCCTTCTTGTATCTGAATATTCATATGAATTACAGCCAACTCTTAACGTAGATAATCCGAAGAATAATGAAACTTTTTTAATGAAAATGTTTGCATAATATCCTTCAGACATCCAACAGGTCACCGATATTATACTGTATATGTTTTCCAATATACTCCTTCGTAAAGACTGACACCGTCCAGGGGGTCAATAAAATCGTATCCTCTCCAGTGATTTCTTATCTTATCTCATCAATGTCATCCAGATATGTTCACACTTGTCAGGGAACCAAAGACAGAAATAGAAGCCATCTGGTGTTGCTGCACGACGGAATCTCCTGTGCCAAAACAAAGTGAAAATTTCTCTCTTTTTAATGGTTTACACCTCTTTTGTTGATAATTAAGTTCTAGACCTTTTTTTTTTATCTTTGGCATATGCTTTTGTTTGCATTTACCTAAATATAAAGCACTAATCCAATGCTCCAAAGCAGCTGGCTGGATGCCACCCTGCCGTCCCGATGAAATGTAGATCAGTGATAATAGCATATGCTCCCACGAGCTTTCACTTCTGTTTATTCCCGCAAATCACTTGACAGTAGAAAAACAATGTTCTTTAGCCCAATTTCTTGTCTTTTGCGAGGCGTGGTGTACAGTGCCACTGGTTCAAGGGATATGACATGCATTATACATAACGCGTGTGACTCTCTGATTCCCACGTGTCGTGTCAACTCCCAAATAAACAAAATTCAAGCAGCCTGAGTGTGGCTAAGTGAGGATGATCGACACACTATTTCGCCCCCCTCTTCCCAGCCCTCATTTCTCATAGGACATTATAATTATATGTGTTTTATCCATCTCCTGCTACAATTTCAGAGACGGAAACCAGCCCAAACCAGCATGAAGCACTAGGAGCTATGAAGGAGAGATTAATAAAGGCGTCTTAGTGGAGAATATGAAACGACTTGTGTTGAGAGCAACACGATGGAGCAAGAATTCTTTACTCTTTGTTGTGTTGTTTGAAAATCGCATCACAATCCACACCTTAATGAAGACAATTTTCTGATTGATTTAGAATGAGAGTAGGTCATATCTCTTTCTTTATTCAAGGTCCGGAGCAGAACATCAAAGTTAATCTACCTTATTAAATATTCTTCCAAAGTCATCCGAAATGGGAAAGTCACTCGCTCAGCTCCCCAAGGCTCAGGGAGCTGGGTTAATGAAATTATATTAGGGAGCATGTGAAGCTTCTTCTAATCAAAGAATAGCTCATTTGTATACACAGTTGGGGTAATGTCTTTTTTGGAAGATTACTTTCGGTCAGGTACCCTTTTTCAATCCTTGATTTGCTATCTAGTGTACAGATCGGACCCATTGTGGTGATCTTACACCGTGCGAAGGCTTTTTACTATTACTGGAAAAGACCAAATTTCCACATTTCTTTCTGTCTTTGAAACCATGTAATGCATTACTTCAGTGATTAAATCAGCAGCTGACTGTTTTTCAAAATACTGCAGAAACATTCTCTAACTTTGGCCCTGATACATTATGCATCTTAGCTGTGTGTATTCAAGTTTTAGTATTTTACATACCTCTTATCGCAATTCCTTTCCTGATTGGCCTCAGTGGGAATTAACAGTGACAACAGTTTGAAGTAGCATTTTATATTTAAATGAAAGTTTTCAGATGTTTGCCCAGTTCAACTGAGGCACCCCCGTCCTGTGGATACTAGACAGCCGAGCCTCATCGCCATTAAAAGCTTTTAATGGTCATTGTTTTTCTTTTGGTTTCAAACAGCATCTTTACTTTGTCGGTTTGTCAATATGGTGTCTCATCAAACAAAACCCCCGTTTTCATTTATTTGCTGCAATATATTTTACATGTTGAACTGAGAGCTCATTTGTCTAAAATACTGCCGGTTAGTGAGAGAGTGGTCCTGCTGTTGGGC